AAAAAAAAACAAAAGGAAATGCCAGAGCAAAGGTTGCTGCTTTGTTATGTACAAGATCAGTTTCTGCTACAACAGTATCAGGGCCGATATCCACATTAGCAGGCTTAAGGGCTCATGCTGCTGAGATACCTAATACTAATGAAAAAATAAAATTGCGGTTAAAGTTGGAGAAGAAGGAGCCGATATCTCCGGCTTATAAGGTAGATGTTTCTTTTGTTGCTTCAACAAAGCTTTTATCATCGGCGGATTCTGCAAGCAACAATTTAGGTACAGCGACGCAAAGTAAGAGTAACACCAGTACTCAACTTAACATGAATATAATAAAAAATGCTAGTCTCACGCCAACGTCCTTACAACAAATTGAAACAGAGCAATCTCATTCTATACAACATCAACAAATTGCTTTCAACAATTTTACGCTTCCACAAACATCCGTTAGTGTAGCACAAACTCCAACAGAAGAACTACGTGTGCCTCCATTACACATCAGTCTGAGAGGTGGAAAAAACTCAATTGTTATTAAAAATTTTCGCAAAGATCAAAAAAAGCCTCCGCATTTGCTAAATATACCAACTGTTGCATCGGGTGGAGTTAGTGAAGATGATTTAAATCATACAACAAATAAGCAATTAAAGCTACAGACTTTACAACTATCCCAAGTTGCTACCGAGGATATGACTCAAGAAAAAATGCCACTCTACGGAACCACGGTTTCGACGTCATCAGTTTTTAATAGCAACAGTGAAAACTGCAACAAATCCATGACAGTAATGACGTCAACACAACCGCTAACACTAACGACTACCAGCGGAGAAGTTACAACTATAACCCCATCGGTGTCTATCTCGTCAATGGTGGGGATGTCAACAGCAAAGCCTTCCTTCCTGGGTAACAAGAATGGAGTAACAATAAGTGCAATTAAATCCCTTGAATCAAAAGCTGGCAGCGGTTCAAGTGGCAGTAAAAGTATAGTAGTTGGATCGACAAATACGGGTACGTTAAGTTTTCCATCTCAACTGATGCACCAGTCGCAATATCAAAAACATGTAGGGTCAGTAACTTTAACCCAACAGCAGCTACATTCATCTAAAGTTCTACCAAGTATGCCTGGTAATATAACACTCAATGCAATATCGAACAGTAGCACAATAAACTGTTCTAGTGATAGTTCTGTAAATGTAGCGAATCGTGTCATTAATAGTTTGAGTTTAGCGACAGCGGCGACGATTACATCTGTTGGTGTTGGTGTTGGTGGCGGCAAACCGCTGACAAAAATTAATAAACCGCCATCTTATTTAACAGCGCTTCAACAACTTCAACTTCAAAAGCATCAACAAAAGCAGTTAAATAAGCAAGCCCAACAATTTGGGGCTCTTAATGATTGTCATACAGCCCAGCAGACTATTGTAGCAGTGGCGACCATGTTGCCAAGCGCAACAACCCTAAAGCGAGTGACAGTCCCGAATTCGACGGCAGAACAAACAAATTTAGTTGTCAAAACAGAAAATAATACTTCGCCGACAGGAACAAATGAACCTACGGATGTAAAATCACCCACAGTCATCTTACCAACATCCTTGACGAATACAGTTGGTGTTGAAAAACAAGTTCAAGAAACTCCACGAAGCGAAATTGGTTCAACGATTTCAACGACTGTAACCAATGGATGTACCAACGTTAGTAGCATTATAGTTTCTAGTAGTCAAGGCCTAGTTATCAGTACTGCCTCATCTGCTCTACCCAATGTTATGTTACGAAATTCACCTGCAAGTAACGGAAGTGGCACCCCTGGCCATGGCAACGGCAATGGTACTGGTGAAGATAGTGGTATTGAGTCAATGGATGCTCTGTCTGAAAAAAGCCCGCATCAACAGTCGTCAAGCAGTCCGATACAACAACAAATAAGCAACGTTGAAAAACCCGCCACCTTATCAATAGTTTTAAAAAACTCTTCGGTAAATGAGGCAAAGAAAGAAAACTCAGAATTAATAGAAGTGACATCTCCAATATTAAAGGATAGTATTGAAGATAAAACAGAATTGAATTCAAACTCGTCAAGAAAGCATACATTGCATGATTATGCAGGCGGTGAAATGGAAAACGCGTTGGCCAAAATGGAAGGGTTTAATGAAGATTTTTCGGATGCTGCAACAAACGTGTCAACTCCTGTTAGAACAGTTGCGAAGGCTTCTTTGTCATTTGCGAAAAGCGAATGTACGTGGTCTACTACGCCTCCGAAAATGAAAACAATTATTAATGGAGAACTTAAAAATGATAAAGTTGAAAGTAAATCTCAATGTGCTATTGGGAAAACATTTGAAGAAAAAGTGGAAATAGGAGTAAATGATCGCAAAAAAAATCAAGCGATCTGCAATGATGATACGCCTGCTATCAAATTTACTGATTACAATCTTGCTCCAGAAAATATAAATAAAATTCGTGAATCTAAATGCCAAGGAAATGCATTAATTGACATTGAAGATAAAGTTGGGATTGAATTTCAAAAAAGCCGCCATGAATTGTCTTTGCAACCACAACGACAAGACTCTGCCTTTCCGCCTATTTCCATTGAAATTCCGACTCAGATTGAATCTGAATGTAGTCGCATTCGCACACGTGCTAGTAGTCGGTTAGCGAGCCCCTTGGATGCAAATAAAGCAAGTCCAACGACAACATCGGTAGAAGAAATTACAAATCCTTCTGTCGCTACTAGCAATAAGTATTCCCTTTTAAGAAGTGACAACGCCAGCCCACAACAAAACGCTGGATGTGGAGTCAATGGTTCACCACAGCTGGGTACGATATCTGTGCCTGGTACTTTAAATAAGCGAAAACGTCGGGAATCTGAGGAACTTACAGAAGAAAAACGAATGCGAACAAGCAGAACTATTACTGCACCTCACAACCTTCTTAATAATGGTAGTGACCTAAAAAAGGCTGACCTATCTTTATCAAGTGATATGCAAGATACAATGACGTGCAGCGACTTAATAAAAAATGAAGAGTCTTCTGACTCAGACGAACCTTTAATTGAGGTGGCCGAAAAAGTACGCAATTTGAAAGTCGGCAATGCTACTGTTAACAGTAATGACTCTACTATTCACCTCCCAGTAGCGGATGTAGCTGAAAAAAATGAGTTTTGCAACATACCTGGACTAGAAAAGGCAACTCGCAGTAGTCGAACAATAGTCAATCAAAACAGTAAGTATTATTACATTACGTATTTAAGTTTTCATAAGTATAACAAATTATTATTTTTTAAAATTTCAATTCAGAAAATTCAATATGTTTTAAGCTTCGCAAAAAACTCGATTGCACACACATATTTTTCTTTCCACGTCATAATCTTCAAAGAAAACCTGCCGTTGTGTCCCTAAACGTCAACAAGTTTTTTTGCATTGTATGGAAGGTTTCCTTATCTGGCTCAAGTTGATCCAAGTAAAAAGCACATTCAGCATTCATATTATCTTTAAGCGAGTATTTACATTTACAATATCGGATTGCAGCGAATTTTCGCGTTCCTAACGTCATAAATGAAGCGCTTTCGAGCCAAGAATACAACTAAATCTTAATTCCAAGTTGATCTGCAAACAGAAGAACACTTTAAAAAGCACTCTCAACGATCCTTTACACTTGTGCAGTAGGTTGGGTATCGATTAATAGTTTGGTTTTATTTTCTTTGTTACAGTAAAATGATGTAAGATCAGTTGACTGTTGTTCCTGGATATTCAAAATATGTTTTATACAGATTCATTATTACATTTTTACGAAATTTTCTTTAGGGTGTTTTTTGGGCTCGCTGATTACGAATCTGAAGTCTGATTTGGAAAAGTCTAAATGACGGATTCAATATTGCGGATGATTTTTTAAAAAAAGTTATTACATTTTTAGGAGTCTGTCTTTAGTGGTGTTTTTGGCCACGCTGATTACGAATCTGAAGCCAGATTTTGAAAATTCCAAATTGCGGATCCAACCTCATTGCAACACGGGATAAGTACCTTACATGCCAAGATAAGAATTTTCGAGTTGTGTTTACATATTTCATATGGGTTTCTTATCAAACAATGGCAAATAAGATCCATGTAAAATAAAAAGGTATGTGCAAAACGAAAAGCTACAATTCAGAAAACGCTTTGGGAAAATCTAAGCTGATAAAGCTAAGCCAGGTGGATCTAGTAATAGCCGCTAGAACAACAACGACAACAACAGTAATAGTAATAGCGGAAATGGTTTACAAGTCATCGTGCAGTACAAGCGCTATAAATAGCTCAATAAATTACCAAAATATGCTCTTAAATATGCTAGATCAATGAAGTTTTATTTAATTTTGTTAGTATTTTTATTCGACAATCTTGGAATTACAGTATAAGAAACATGAATTTTTAAATTATCAATCGAAAATTACCTCTTGTTATTTAAAATTGTGCAATAATTAGAAAAACTATGTGTATAAAGTTAGCGAAACAACATCAAGCAAAAAATGTCGCATATACCCAAGAATTTGCCGTTTTTTCGCCGTTAATTAGTTGTGAAAAAATAATTTTGTCGCTCTGGTATTTTTTTTTAGATATAAGGTGTCTTGCTAACTTTATATAAAGTTAGCGAAGCACCCCTCCAAACTCAAAGACAAACGACTAGGCTTTATGTCAAAATTTGCCGCTTTTTTGCCGTTCTAAGAAGTGAAAAAAAAATAATTTTTTTTAAATAAAAAAAAATGTTTCCATTTTTTTTTCAATGTTCAATAATTTTTAGAAGAAAAGGATAATAATATAATAGAAAAGC